CAGCAACCCGGCCCCCGGCTCAAAAAGGTTGCCTACCCCTGCACTAACACCACTGAACTCTATCCCTCAGTGCAGTAGGCTGGATTTTAAGGTGGGTTTCAGTGGCATTTATTATCATGGCAATGGTGCCACAATCATAAATATGAATAGGAACCAGTTGCAAGGTCATAAGCCTAACTAACCTACATCATAACTGACTAACAGGGTGCCAGTCAACATTTTGAAACAATTATTGTAGTTGTTGTGTGCTTTCAAGTCATGTCCAATGCATGGCAAATCTGAGGTGACCCTATCATGGGGTTTTCTTGGCAAGTTTCTTCACAGGGGTTTGCCATCCCCCAAGGCTGAGAGAGTGTGACTTGTCCATGGCTGAAAGAGGATTGGAATCTTGGTCTCCGCAGAGGTAGGCAACCTTTTTGAGCTGGGGGCCGGGTTGCTGTCCCTCAGATAATTGGGGGGCCGAAGCACCAAAAACAAGTAAGTAAGTAAATAAATAAATAAATAAAAATAAAAAATTTTAAAAAATAAAAATAAAAAAATAAAAAAATATGCATGCACACTCTCTCAGCCCAGAAAAGCCATGGCAAAACCCCTGTGGAGATTTTGCCAAGAAAACCCGAAGAACAAGTAATAACAACAATAATACATTTCATCATGGCGGGGGGCAGTGGCGGGGGTGGCGGCAGCAGGACTAGCCTGGGGCCGGTCCAAAGGCCTCGGGGGGGCGCATCCGGCCCCTGGGCCTTAGGTTGCCTACCCTGTGTTAGTGTGTAGGGTGCTGAAAGATGACACGTCCAGCCCACTCCCACCAGTGACCAGCTGTGCACTGAGAAGTTGTGCACTGAGGAGTTGTGACAGGATCCCACAGGGGTCCTTGCTTCTGCTCAGTGCCTGGTCAGACACATCCTTCAGCACCCTGCTTGCCAGCACCACAAAACTCCATCCTTTAGTGCAGCGGCTCATCTTTAAAGGTAGGTGGAGGGGGGCAAATTGGGAGACAAAGTTTAGTGACAACATTGTGGCTGCATGATTGATGCAGGATCTCAGCCATTATTTCATTGCATCAATCATAGATGGAAAATCCTCAACCCTAGTCATTGTACGTATGTGTGACAACTACAGAAGTCCTAGTCTTTATTGCTCTGGCATATTTAGACAATCATGGGTATCAGTGCACTGCCCGGCTAAATGGAGGTGATCCGCCATTTTTACCCCTATGGCCGCCACGATATGTATGCCAACTGGTTTTAGTATTTTATGATTGAATTGATTTTAATTCTACAATAGTTTAATTTAGTTTTAAGGGGTAGGAGGGCTTGGGTGTGGGTGTGGGATGATGGAATATTTTAACTGTTGTACTTTTTAACTTGCTGTAAGCTGCCCCGATTGCCGAGCAGAGGGGCGGGTTATAAATAAAACTTCTTGTTGTTGTTGTTGTTGTTGTCAGTGAAACAGGAAGCCACACTTTTCCCCAGTGCTATTTTCTGTTTTTGTAGCTGAGATTCTACTCCGAAATGAAACAGCTTCACACTTTCAACACCAATAAACCATTTTTTAAGAAAACCACTTGTCTTTAAAATTAAAGATGCCTAAAAATAACCACAGCAATTAAAAGCCATGCTTGCCAGAGACTCATAAATTATATTTGACTCAATGGTGATGTTGCTGCCACCATAGAATTAATGGGACCATCTGCACACCTGACATCATACTGCTGCCTAGATATTATTAGTCCAAGATGATGTTCTGGTAGAAAGGAATAGTGAGGTACCCATTGTTGATGAGAAGCATGAGGAAATGAGATCTTGGTAGGCCAACACTTATGTAAATTCCATTGCTTCATTGGGTCTATTTGTTGGGATGAACAACTGAGTTTAGGTCTTCATGCCAATATGTGCTAACATGGGCTGTTGCCACACTGCAGAATTAAAGCAGTTTGATACCACTTTAACTTCCATGGCTCAATGCTACAGAATTCTGGGATTTGTAGTTTGCTCTGACAGGGAAGGCTAAATATTTCACAGAATGGCAGTTACAGCGATATCAAACTGTTTTATTTCTGCATCTTGGTAACAGGCAGAAAAATGGAGCAACACCTTGAAATACATCTCACCACTCATAACAAACTCAGTAAGAATTTCAGTGGAAGGTACTTGGCTCCTAATAAAAATGCAAATCATGAACCTGTCACTTGCAGACTTCATCAGCATTGCTGGTAGAGAGAAGAAAGTGAAATGTGAGGAAAAAACAGGATTGGCAGCTACAATTTCAAACTGTATTTACATAGGAGAAAGATGTTAGCAGCAGCATATTTGTCACAAAAAAAAGCAACTGGCTCTAAACCATTGCAAATAAATCAACTCCCTTTAAATAAACAGCTGGCAGACTCTGCACTTGACAGTTTGCAGAAATGAAATCCATCATTCTCACAAAGCTTCACTGATGCCAAAGGAGCTATTGCATTCAGAGGCAGAGTGGGCTCCACAAGATCAACAACTACCTGAAGGAACTATTTTGTTATGGTAAAAAAAAGGTTGCACACCAACATTTTGTTTCAACCTATTTACCCGCTATATCACAAAGAATCCCATTCTTTGTGATATAGCGGGTAAATCCTGCTATAACTCCAATTCCTGTTTTGTGAAACAGGTGGTATATAAATTCAATAAATAAATAAAACTGACAAAATAATGTCTCACATGATCATTAAAACTTTTCAGGCAGGGAATGAGAAAGCCTGATCTTTTGCACCACACATAAAGATTTGTACAAATTCTCCCATTTCACTGTCATTGTGCCATCTGTTTGGAGCGCAGAAAGGAGCCCAAATTATTTATTTGTGTCTGGGTTATATTTATGTATATCCTGAGCAGCAGTTCAAGGCAGTTGGGAAAAATTAAAACACATGCAAGTGAAGGTAAATATGGTTAAAAAAACATACAAAAAATTATTATTAAAATGTAATTAGGCTATCGACATTTAAAAATAAATAAATGAATGAAAAGATGTCTTGAAGGGCCTGAATTCTAGAAATTCCACTGAATTCCTAGTCCTGCTTAAAGTAGCTCCATTAAGCCAATGAGATTTACCTATGTGTTGACTTACAATTCAACAGTTCATTGAATTGGCCTACTCCAGTTGGT